AAGTTTATTTTTGAGAGAGAGAGAGACAGACAGACAGACAGACAGCACAAGTGGGGAAGAGGTAGAAAGAAAGGGAGACAGAGGATCTAAAGGATCTCTGCTGTCAGCACAGAGCTCACTGCGGGGCTTGAACTCATGAACCGTGAGATCATGACCTGAGCTGAAGTCTGAAGTTTGACCTACTAAGCCACCCAAGTGCCCCAACAGTGGAGTTATCACAGTATATATGGAACATGTGCATGACTCCATGAACCAATATTCTCCAAATGAGCAATGCATGAAGTTACAAAAACATGCACCATAGAAGATCTAATAAAAATGCAAGACATAACAGATTTTAATATAATGAAGTACAAAAAGGTCACATTTCAGTTAACCTTTGAGAAACTACTATGTATTGAGTTTTGGTATACTATCAAAGAAGAACATCCACAGTCATCTGAAAAAGCTTTTCCTCTCTTTGTCAGCCACACATTTGTGAGGCAAAGTCTGCAAAACCCAGCTGACCTCTATTAAGGCAGACATTAAAGATATTTGTGAAATGTAAACCAAGGTCACTCACTTATTTTGCATTGGGAAAATGTTATTTATAAAGATGTTATTTGTATCAACTGATAAAACTGTTCTTTTTAAAGGAATAAATATTTTTAAAATACGTTGTTAATTTCTACTACAGTAATTGTTGACACATTTAAACCACATGAACAAAAACTTGGGGAGACTCAGTAGTTTCAAGAAGGTAAAATGGGTCCAGAAAACAAAAAAGCTTGAGAACCACTGCCCTAATGAAAACAATGGGTCCAAGTGTCTTGCTTGGGAGGAGAAGGGGGCTATAAGGAGATCAAGGAGAAATCTTGGGTATCTTTTCTTTTATGTTTATTTTTGAGAGCAAGAGCATGCGCATGAGAGAGAGCATGTGAGAGCAAGCAGGGGAGGAGAGAGAGAGAGGGAGACACAGAATCAGGGGAGTAGAAGAAAGAACGAGGGAGATACAGAATCCGAAGCAGGCTCCAGGCTCTGAGCTGTCAGTACAGAACCCGATGTGGGGCTTGAACCCACAACGGTGAGATCGTGACCTGAGCCAAAGTTGAACACTCAACCGACTGAGCCACCCAAGCACCCTTCTTGGATATCATTTTAATCTCTTCGCTGATAAATAGGTGGTATTTAGATTTTGCTACTTCCTGTGGTATAGCAGAGCAGGTTCAGAAACAGAGAAAAATTTTGGCTCAGAAACATGGTTCAATAAGCCAAATTTTGGCTAATATTTTTCCTTTTATCTCCTTTGAAACAGATAGTGATCAAAACAATTTATGAGAAGCTGAATGTAACTCCACAGACATCAACCAAACAATCCTATGACAACCACCCCTGAGCCATTTTTTTTTTCCAGGAACTTATTTTATTTTATTTTACAAATAGTTTATTGTCAACTATATAACACCCGGTGCTCATCCCCACAAGTGCCCTGCTCCATGCCCATCTCCCCCCTCGCCCCCCACACCCATGAGTCCTCAGTTTGTTCTCAGCATTCAAGAGTCTCTCATGGTTTGCCTCTCTCCCTTTCCCCCACCATTTCTCCCCTTCTTCTCCCCCATGGTCCTCTGTTAAGTGCCTCCCAATCCTCCTATACATGCAAACATATGATATTTGTCCTTTTCTGCCTGACTTATTTCACTCAGCGTAACACCCTCAAGGTCCATCCATGTTGCTACACATGGCCAGATTTCATTATTTCTCACTGCCATGTAGTACTCCATCGTATAGATAAACCACATCTTCTTGATCCATTCATCTGTTGATGGACACTTAGGCTCTTTCCATGTTTTAGCTATTGTGGAGAGTGCTGCTATGAACATTGGGGTACATGTGCTCCTATGCCTCAGCATTTCTGTATCCCTTGGGTAAATTCCTAGCAGTGCTATTGCTGGGTCATAAGGGAGTTCTATTGTTAGTTTCCTGAGGAACCTCCACACTGTTTTCCAGAGGGGCTGTACCAGTTTACATTCCCACCAACAGTGTAGGAGGGTGCCCGTTTCTCCACATCCTCGCCAGCATCTAGAGTTCTCTGATTTGCTCATTTTAGCCACTCTGACTGGCGTGAGGTGGTATCTCAGTGTGGTTTTGATTTGTATTTCCCTGATGAGGAGGGATGCTGAGCATCGTTTCATGTGTCTGTTGGCCATCTGGATGTCCTCTTTGGAGAAGTGTCTGTTCATGTCTTCTGCCCATTTCTTCACTGGGTTGTTTGTTTTTCGGGCGTGTAGTTTGGTGAGTTCCTTATAGATTCTGGATATTAACCCTTTATCTGATATGTCATTTGCAACTATCTTTTCCCATTCCGTTGGTTGCCTATTAATTTTCTGGGTTGTTTCCTTGGCTGTGCAGAAGCTTTTAATCTTGATGAGGTCCCAACAGTTTATTTTTGCTCTTGATTCCCTTGCTTTTGGGGATGTGTCAAGTAAGAAGTTGCTGCGGTGGAGGTCAAGGAGGTTGTTTCCTGCTTTCTCCTCTAGGGTGTTGATAGTTTCCTGTCTCACGTTCAGGTCCTTTATCCATTTTGAGTTGATTTTTGTGCATGGTGTGAGAAAATGATCTAGTTTCATTCTTCTGCATGTTGCTGTCCAGTTCTCCCAACACCATCTGTTAAAAAGGCTGTCTTTTTTCCATTGGATATTCTTTCCTGCTTTGTCAAAGATCAGTTGGCTGTATACTTTTGGGTCCACTTCTGAGTTCTCAATTCTGTTCCATTGGTCTATGGGTCTGTTTTTGTGCCAATACCATACTGTCTTGAGGATGACAGCTTTGTAGTAGAGGCTGAAGTCTGGGATGGTGATACCTCCCGTTTTGGTTTTATTTTTCAGTATTACTTTGGCTATTCGGGGTCTTTTGTGGTTCCATACAAATTTTTGGATAGTTTGTTCTAGTTTTGAGAAGTATGCTGGTGCAATTTTGATTGGAATTGCATTGAATGTGTAGAGTGCTTTAGGTAGTAATGACATCTTAACTATATTTATTCTTCCTATCCATGAGCATGGAATGTTTTTCCATTTCTTTGTGTCTTCTTCAATTTCCTTCATAAGTTTTCTATAGTTTTCATCATACAGATCTCTTGTATCCTTGGTTAGGTTTATTCCTAGGTATTTTATGGTTTTTTGTGCAGTTGTGAATGGGATCAGTTTCTTGATTTCTCCTTCTGTTGCTCCATTGTTGGTGTATAAAAATGCAACCAATTTCTGTACATTGATTTTGTACCCTGTAACTTGGCTGAATTCTTGGATCAGTTCTAGTAGGCATCTGGTGGAGTCTGTCGGGTTTTCGATGTAGAGTATCATGTCATCTGTGAAGAATGAAAGTTTGACTTCCTCTTTGCCAATTCTGATGCCTTTTATTTCCTTTTGTTGTCTGATGGCTGATGCTAGGACTTCCAGCACTATGTTCAACAACAGTGGTGAGAGGGGACATCCCTGCTGTGTTCCTGATACCTCTGAGCTATTTTAAATTATACCCACTTCACATTTTATTTTCCAACATGAGTAACAACACGATAACACTTTGGTAAGAAGTTTAAGGGCTAGTCTACAGAAAAACAAAATTCAGGATATAGGTTCTTTTAGACCAAGGGGTGGCAAATCCCTTGGGCCAAATCCAGCCTGCTGCCTGTTTCTGTAAATAAAGTTTTACTGGAATACAGCCACGCTTGTTTTCTTATTGCCTACATTGCTTTTTGGCTACAGGAGCACAGCTGAGGAGTTACAACAGAAATCACATGGCCTGCAAAGCCTAAAATATTATCATCTGGGCCCTTACAGAAATTGTTTGCTGACTCCTGTTTTGGAGTCACTTTGGAATCTTGGTTAAGAGGCTTTAAAGTTAACTGACCTGCATTTAAGTCCCTTCTCTGCCACGATCTGCTTTGGGACTTGGCTTCATTTTGTTGTCATAGACTGGAGCTAGTACCTGCCTCACAAGGTGGTTGTGAGGATTACACAAACTTGGGCCTGGAAAGCACACAACAGAGTCCCAGGCACAGAGCAAGGGCTTGATGGGTGTTAGCTACTGTCATCAATTAAGCAAGAACTTAAATGAAGCACAATGGAGTCACATCCCATTTGGGACTTAGATTCTAAATTCAATGAGGAGAACGGATAAAAATCAAGCATTAAAAAAAAATCATCTCTAGGGGCACCTGGGTGGCTCAGTCAGTTAAGCATCCGACTCTTGATTTTGTCTCAGGTCATGATCTCATGGTTGTGGGATCGAGCCATGCACAGTGCAGAGCCCACTTGAGATTCTCTCTCTCCCTCTCTGCCCCTTTCCCACTCATGCTCACACACACTCTCTCTTTCAAAATAATTTAAAAACACATTTTTAAAAATCATCTCTGAAAATCCCTTATGAGGACAGTCCATTATAGACAAACATTGTCTCACAGTAATTTCAACATGGCTGGTTTTTTCCCCAGCATTTAAATACATCACTGTTCCTTCAGTGAAGGCCCCAGATGCAGTATAGCTGGCATTTAGGAGCCACAATGTAAGAACACAATCCACACAATCAAACACAAGATTCACACTCAGTATGGTGAGACACACACACAGACACACACACACACTCTGAAGAGCAAAGGCAATGAAGACAGATGGGAACAGCAGATTCATGGCTCCCTGTATCATCCGGAGGTACATGCATGCTGAGTGTTTCTAGCTGCCCCCCCAAAAAACCCCTTAATTTGAATTTTTGTAAATTTAATGGCATCTTTTAAAAGGAATCAGTAATAATTACTTCAGAGGGTTGCCATGACAACAAAATGAGTAATTATGTGTGGTGGTTGTTTGAAACTCCATTGTAAATTCCCATTTGATATCTGCTATAGATGGTAAACTATAAGGAACACCTGTCTCTCACAATTTTATTAACCAACCAATAATGGTTAGGGCATTATTTGTGAAAATCCCCCAAATGGTAAAGATCAAATTAGTGCAGTGACATGTATTTACCTGGGAGAAAACCAGTAGTTGACAAGGCTGGAGACCATCACGTAGGACACCATGATTGTACCCGACATGATGAGTGACACAAAGCTCAAGCCGCAGAGGACACAAAGCAGTGAGAGGCCACCCACAGAGATGACCAGTCCTAGAGGAAACCATAATTAGGAGAAGCATTCAGCTAAAACAGGTTGAAAGCTGCCAGACCCAAGGCCACTGTGCTTATGAGAGTTAACTCAGATTTTTTTAAGTGAGTAGATTTCCCATAAAGATACAGATTTCCACCATCATTTAAAAAGGAGGTAACCTAGCCACCCAACTGGGCATCACTGCAAGGCAAATACCCTTTTCCTTGCCTTGGTAGTGGTGAAATAACTCAGAACTCCATCCTCATGGCTACAGTGATATAATATCAGGGATGGACCTTGCAAAGGAAGGAAATCAGACAATATAAACGGATGTGCTACTGTTTTACAAAGACTTGCAAAATCCCGGATCAGTGTTTTTCCAAGTGTGGCCAACAACCACTGTATCAGAATCAGATACAATAGGAAGGCTTGAGAAAAATTCTGATTTTTGGACCCCACTCTAGAACTACTAAGAACAATCTCTGGATGGGGCCTGGAAGTCTCTATCTTCAAAAACACAAGTAAGACTTATATACACTCAAGTTCCAGACTACTGTTCTAAAGGCTTTATACATGCTGTTCATCCTGTTTAGAAAGTCTTTCCTTCCCCAAAGGAAACAAGAGTTGTTACATATCTTTAAATCCTGTCTTTTGTAAAACTTTGCATGGAACCACCAAAATGCAAGGGCTCCCTTCCCCTCCCTAAATTTACTTTTGCTACAGTACTCATTCATTCCTCCACTCATTCATTCATCGCTCTATCCATCAACATTATTGAACAGCTACTCTGTGAGGCTGTATTCTGCTCATCTGCCTATGATGCTTACTTTCTCCTTCAAGTATAAATTGCCTTATCTACAGTTCCCTGGGCAGGGAAACAATTCTGGGTGGTCTTAGCTCTGGAAAGTTGTAGGATAAATCAGAGGGGATTGCCTGACCCAATGGCAACCACCTCTTTGGCTAGTATTTTATGGTTTGTGATCTGAGACGAAGAGGCAAACTGAGCTCATCAGATCTGCTTTCTCAGCAATTTTATCTTAGCAACAAAAGGAGAAGTTGACATTTGGCAGTGTGACTTCAGGAGGAAAGGTGAAGAAGGGGAACACTAATACCTAGCAAGGCACCTGGCATGCAACAGGTGTTCAATAACTAGTTGTGGAATAAACAGACTGTTACCATTTATGTAGAAGCTACTAGGTGCCATGGGCTGTGCTAAATACTTTATGGAACTATGAGTTTCAATCCTTACAACAATGCTTTGACTCCCATTCTACATATGAGGAGTTTGAGGTTCAGAAACGGTAGATAACTTGTCCAAAATTGTGCTGGTGAAGGTAGGATTCTAATGTAGACTCCAGAGTCCATCTTTTAACTACTCTGATAATCTGCCTTGGTCACTGTAATTTTTCAAGAACAGGAATCTTTCATACAAGTGGCAGGTGCCAAATAAATACTATGCTCCCAACGGAATCATTTTCCAAGGGGGTGAATAGACGAGCAGGATACCTTCCAGTAAAATGACTCCCACAAGAGCAGCCAGGGAGGTAAGCACCACAAGCAGCAGGAAGAATCCAACAGGAATGGCCGACACAGCAACAAACACCAGCATAGTGAGGGCCAAAAAAGGATGCCTGTCCAGGTACTGACCCACCGGAGACTTCAGAAAGGCAACCACCTGTTGGCAAAGGAGAAAGAGCCAGATTGAACACCATGTCTGAACCCTAGGTTGATGGACTCATCTGAGCTGCAGGAAGTATATAACCAAAGGCCATAAAGTTGGATGGCTCATAAGTAATGTAACAAGTCAACAACACTAACAATTCTCCCAAGACATGAGTCACCCTGGCAATAGCTTAAGGCAGCTGTAGACAGATGGCAGGTTTGAGGGTCCCACCTCAACTTTAAGTCTTGTGAAAGTAGGAAAGACCTGGTCATGGCTCTACTGTTTAACACACACCCCCTCAGAAGAGGCTCTCAGCATATGCACACATGGATGTAAGGTACACACAATTTATCTCCTACTTCACAGCTGAAGTTTCATAGTTGAGGCTACTGAAGCACAAAGAGGTTAAGTTCGAGCTACTTGGCATTACCTGGGGGCTTGTTAGAAATGCAACATCTCAAGCCCTCCCCTACACCTGCTAAATCAGATGCTGATTGTTTCTCATGTTTATCTATTTTTGAGAGAGAGTGCAAGCAGTGAGGGCAGAGAGAAAGGGAGATAGAGGATCCAAAGCTGGCTCTGCACTGATAGCAGAGAGCCTGATGTGGGGCTTAAACTCACTAACCATGAGATCATGACTTGAGGCGAAGCCGGATACTTAACCTACTGGGCCACCCAGGTGCCCCCAGATGCTGATTTTTAATGAGATCCCCAGGTGACTTGTATACACATTAATGTCTGAGAAGCAAAGACTAGCCTAGAGTCACAGTTTCCAAGTGACAAAATCTAGGCATCCAAAGCTGAATCTCTTCATTGTTAATGTCTAATGTGTGCAATGGCTTCACCTTGTTAGGAAAAAATGCTTTTATTTTGTCAACTTGGATACCACAGTCAGGACATAGCCTCATGACTCCTGCAAACTTATGCTGTGTTAATATAACAAGCTAACTTCCTTCACCAGGCAAAAGAGTTTTTGGATCTGGCTCAACGGGAGAGGGCTGCTTTAATAAAGAACTGGTCCTAGACAAGGCTTCTCCCCTTTTCTTAAGCCCCATGCTGTCTCTCTCCTCACTACTGACATGTTGGTTTCAGTTCCCTTAAAATGTTCCATCAATAACTTTTCCCCATTGAAACTGGTCCTTCCCAGGTCTCATTCCTCAGGACCTTGCAGGCCAGCAGCTGAAATGAAGAGGAAATTCAAGCTACAGTGATCATGGATGCCACTATCCCAAACACCCAAAATACACGTGTCTCTTAATGACCCCAATGGTGGGAATCTGGAGGCAAGCTGGAAGGCAGGAGGGTTTTGTAGTTCAAGTTGATGGTGATCAAAATACAGAGCTCATGCTGCATAACTAGAAAAGGCTGTTGTTCCAAGAAGCCACTGCCCTTGGTCTTGAGACTACAGCACTGCCTCCTTAGAAGTCTCCAGGCATGACCAACTTCACATCCTGTCAGGCCACAAAAATAGCATAATGCCCACTGGCTATGCTGCCTCTAGCTCCTCCTATCTGAGAAAAGCTACCAGATTTAGCTATTCAACTTCTCTAGCCAGAGGTGACTGCACTAGGAATGCCCAGCTCACATAATCAGAACCCAATGAGATTCTCCAATTAAGGCAGCTGACAGGAGGGGCCAAGGGAGTGGGGCTGGTCCCTGGATCTGTCTTCAGTCTTGACTGCTTTCCAGCTCTGGTCCACATACATTCTTTCTTTCTTTCTTTCTTTATTTTATTTTTCTGAGAGAGAGACAGCGTGAGCAGGGGAGGGTCAGAGAGAGAGGGAGACACAAAATCTGAAGCAGGCTCCAGGCTCTGAGCTAGCTGTCAGCATAGAGCCTGACGTGGGGCTTGAACCCAAGAACCGTGAGATCATGCCCTGAGCTGAAGTCAGAAGCTTAGCCAACTGAGCCACCCAGGCACCCCTCGAGTCCACATATATTCTTATTAACTCTCTCCAACCACCCAAGGCATCATCTGACTGACTGAACTGTTTTCTATGATCCTTATAATCAAGAGACCCAGTAATCACAATGGGGAGCAGATGACGAGGGAACACCTGAATGCCAGGCTTATGAGTTTACACCCAGACCATCCACATGTGGCTATTGTGGACTTGAAATTTGGCTGATAAACTCGATTTTTAACTTAGTTTTAAATTTTAAAATGGATATATGCTTCAATCACAGGAACATTTTTAATTACATTTCAAATCAGATACGTTTCAAATAAACTTTCAATTTTATGAAATTTTTGTAAATCTCAATAGAGATGATGTATTTTCAATGGATAGTTAGTATCTGAATTGAGATGTGCAATAAGTTTATTAAAAAATGTAGACTGGGGCAGCTGGGTATCTCAGTCGGTTGAATGTCCAACTCTTGGTTTCGGCTCAGGTCAGGTCATGATCTCATGGTTGTGGGATCCAGCCCTGAGTCAGCTCCAGGCATGAAGCCTGCTTGAGACTGATCTCTCTCCTTCTGCCCCTTCCACTGCTCGTGCTGGCGCACGCTCTCTCTCTCGCTGTCTCTCAAATAAAAAAAATAGGGGTGCCAGGGTGGCTCAGTTGGTTGAGCGTCCGACTTTGGCTCAGGTCGTGATCTCATGTCTCATGGGTTCGAGCCCCATACTGGGATCTGTGCTGACAGCTCAGAGCCTGCTTCATATTCTGTGTCACCCTCTCTTTCTCTCTACCCTCCCCCACTCGTACGGTCTCTCTCTCTCTCTCAAAAATAAACATTAAAAAGTTTTAAAAATAAAGTAAAATTTTTAAAAAAACCTTGAAAAATGTAGACTATCTCATCACTAATTTTTTATATTATTACATAGTGAAATTATACTGTTTTGGATGTTTGGGGTTATAAAAATATATTACTAAAATTAATTTTACATTTCTTTTCATGCTTTTTAATAGGACTACTAGCAAATTTAAAACTCTATATACACGTTGCACAATACTTCCATTGTAAAGCACTTGTTTAAACTTTATCTAGAAAAAAAAATCAAGAGACAAACTGCTGGCATTTGAGCAGGACTATGATATAATCAAAGCATTAATTTAAGGTATATGAACCTGACAGTCATGTGCAAAAGGCAGTTATGAGGATTTGTCTGAAATCAGGCAAGAGACACTGATGGGCAAATCTAGGCTGATGGCAATATGAAAGTGGGATGACAAGAGAAAAATCAATAGGACTTGGGGACACTTTGGCTTGGGGATCCAAAAGGAGAAAAGCAGGTGTTCTTCAAGACCCTAAAGGAATCTCTTTTTTATTAGCCTCTTCTGAGTGAGGGTCCTACAACCAAGAAACAGTCATTCAGATATGCAGAGGGACCATTTTAAGATGCAATTAAGACCAGAAATTGTCTTCCCCTAGGAAGTATGGCCCTACTCATGCCAGTCTGCCATAGTAGGGGAGGATATAACTCAGTTACACCTAATAATAATACAGGAGCACCTGAGTGGCTCAGTCGGTTGAGCATTCAACTCTCAATTTCAGCTCAGGTCATGATCTAAGGGTTGTAGGATCAAGTCCCACATTGGGCTCCATGCTGAGCTTGCTTAGAATTCTCTCTTTCTCCCTCTGCCGTTCTCCCCCCACTCTCTTGCTAATATAAAAAAAAGAAATTAAAAAATAATAGAGAATCTTCATTACACTCAGGCACCAAGCACTGTTTTAAGTATTTTCAATGTATTTCCTCATTTATTTCTCCCTACAATGCTCATAGGCAGGTAAGGAGGAACTTTATTTAGAGCCAGGGAATTAGAACATAGCAATTAACTTCTCATTCATGTCAATAGAAGGGGATACAATGGGAGGATGGAAAGTGGGACATCTTACTATTCAGTAACATGAACTGCAATTTTCTATCTCCATCCTGGAAGCAGGCACAGGTCATCCACCTTGGATTTTACAGGCCAGGTGCAGTGCTGAAGAACTCAGGAATTCCAGGCTGGGACAGAGTAGCACCATTATGTGCCAGGCTCTGTGCTACAGCTTTCCTAAACAGCTCCTGACATCATCCTCACAACAAATGAGCCTGGCATTGCTTATTTCAGAGTGAGGTGATGGAGATTCAATGAGCCTAAGCAACTTGCCCAAGGTCAGACAAAGACAATTTATTTTAAACTGCACACATGAGTACGGCAGGTTCCAAAGTAGGGATAATGTGGCCAGTACTGAAGGACATGAAGGCTCCATATGGAACTATTCAGGAGACAGGCTAATTCCCTGCTGTCAGAATGCAAAAGACAATCAGTGTCCATTGACCCTTGTTACCAGAAGGGAGGAGGACAAAGGTGTCAGGATTATTTAAAACCACTGGTAAAGACCACTACAAGGTTCTGAGTAAGAGTTTATCCCAGACCTCGGTCCCTGGGTGCCCACTGGTATGTGATTCAGAGGTTAATTCAAAAATATCCTTTGTGGAAGGAATGGGCCAGCATGGGAGCAAACCTAGTGATAGGTAATCCACAAGTGAAGATGCCCTCAGGGGGCATCTGCCCAGTTCACGTTCCTTCTCTCTTCCCACCTCTCTGAACACTGCCCCCTCCCACAGTAGGTGTAGGTCCCTGAAATTATGTTTCTCTCCATGAAGAATGATGAAAAGTCCCTGCCCAGCTGCCACCAACCTGGCCACTGGTGACTTGGTCAAGCCTGATCCTAGGAATCAGAGATTCCCAGAGAAGGCCTCTTTGAAGGTTTCAGGGAGGGAGGCACAGGGAGTTGAAGGTGCCAGTCAAGGGAGTCACAATGGCCCACGTGAACGGAAGAGTTAAGAAAGCCAGGCTGTAAAGAATGAAGGTGATGCACAAGGAAAAGCTACAACTGGAAGCAACATGGCCCAGGAGGTGTTGAGAGTTACCTCTGACACCAGTGACCTGCCAGACCCTGATTCACTTCCTGCCCTCAGCTTCTCAGATAGCCTCCCATTTCCCCCAAAGTCCCAGCAGGTCTATTTGTTTGCTTAAGTTATTCTGAGCAGGTTTCTGACTCTCTCAGCCTAAAAGCAAGACAATTAAGACTTGACATTCCAGAGACTTCCTAGAAGAAATGATGGAGTTGTTTCACAAATACTCTGTGTGGAAGCAAATCTATCTGTTCTGTTCTGGAATTTAAAGGGCTAATTAACTCTGAGTAAAGGCTAAAATTGATTTGGGAGAAATAAATCATCTAAATATGCCCAAAACAAGGGTATGTTTATGTAAATTATGTCAATCTGATGGAAGTTTCTATAACACATTTTCTTACATTTTTGTTTTTTGTTGATAATTTCACCATTCAAAATGGCAGAAGTACTGTCTAGTGTTAAGTTTAAGAGGGCTGTGATGCGCCTTAAGAGAAAATACTTTATGGGGAGCCTGGGTGGCTTAGTCGGTTGAGCGTCTGACTTTCACTTAGGTCGTGATCTCGCGGTTCGTGGGTTCAAGCCCCGCGTCGGGCTCTGTGCTGACTGCCAGCTCAGAGCCTGGAGCCTGTTTCAGAGTCTGTGTCTCCCTCTCTCTCTGACCCTCCCCTGCTCATGCTGTCTCTCTCTCTCTCCTAGAAATAAATAAAAATTTAAAAAAAAAAAGAGAAAATACTTTGTTCAGGCAAGATTTATAGTGCTTCTGGCCATGAGTTTAATGTTAACGAATCAACAAAATATACCAAGTAGTCTTCAAACAGAAATACACATACAACAGGTTATATATTTATCAATTGATGAAAATGTTGTTACCATAAATTTGCCAGAACCTAATCCTGTAGTTTCCCTGGATAAATTGTGAATTCGTTGTTTGAGGTGACCTCATAGAACATAACACATATAATGAGAATCAAATGCACATGTAGATGAGCACAAGGACCTGTCCTACTAAAGCTAACTTTTCGTACAAGAGTCTCAGACTGCTGACTAGAAAGCTGCTTGGCCAATTTAAAAATAGCTTGCTAAATCCACCAAGAGGGCCAGAGGCATTTTGGGATGAGTCCAGGAAAGATCTCTACAGAATATATTGCTGTAGACTGCAAAGTGCTATCTCTTCAAATAGACCTTACGGGAATTGTGCTAATACAAAAACCAGATCACATACCAGTTCATTTTGTTACATATATGTACGTACTTTATGGATATACTGCATGGGAAAAAAAATGTTTCCAGGGAAATGCAATACAATGTTAATATTACCTCTGAGAGCTGTTGTTTTTTCAGACAAAATGCTAAGTGACATATAGAAAAAGGCAAGAAAGATAAAAATTCAAGAAAGCAGAATATACCATCTCAAGTCCCATGGCCACTGAATTGGTACTGAACACCTGAAAAGTGGCTAATTCAAATGGAGATGTGCCATTAAGTATAAAATATACACTAAAGTTTGAAGACTTACTACAAAAAAGAACGTAGAATATCTCAATGACTTTTTTCATTAGTAATTTTTTATAATGATTACATATTGAAATATTTAGATATGTTAGACTAAAAATACATTAAAATTAGTTTCATATGCTTTTTACTTTTTAAATGTGGCTACTAGAAAATTTTAAATTACATTCATGGCTCCTATCATATTTCTATTGGACAGTGGGTTTCTAGTGGAAAACTAGACTCAAATCTTGAAGTATGCTTTAGTTCCTCAGTCTTAGGGTAACAGGGCAAAATTAACAAAACAAGATGGTATCTGTGGCACAGACTGAGAGCCACCCTCTATATCCAGCTAAACAACTGCATTTACCCTGAGGGGAGACTTGTAACTAACTTTTGGTCTATGAGATGTAATTGGAAGTGTTGCATGTGTGCATGTGTGGGCGTGTGTGTGTGTGCGCACGCGCGCGCGCGTGTGTGTGTGATTTCCAGGAAATCCCTTTTAATTAGAAGTGGCTTGCAAGTCTTTCTCTCCTTCCCACCTCCATCCTATTACCTGGAATGTGAATACAATGGCTGATGCTTTAGCAGCCATCTTGGACAATGAGTTTGAAGATCACACTTTAGCCACGGCAAGGTGGTGAATTAGAAAAATTCCCAATCTACCTCAAATTTCTTCTACCTCAGAGAGAAATAACCTTCTATGCTGTTTAAGCTGGTGTTATTTTGGGATTTTCCATTACACATCCTGATTGGAAACTGACCTTTGAGTTATTCTGAATAGATGCTATCAGCAAAGACAGCTTCCTCTGCAGCTCCTGCAAGTCCTTTGAGGTACTCGGGGGCTCTTCTTTTGCCATTCTGAAACCCACTTCAGTCTCTTTAGGGGTTAATTCTTCTATCTGTAAGCTGTCCAGGGCAGGGCACAGTCAAATCTCTCATGTCACCTGTCTCTTCTTCCTTTAACTGGAGAAACAAAAAGTAACTGAAACATTAGTAGTATTCACCCAGCCAGTTCAACAAAGCTTCTACTATCTTCATGCATTGATGGTAGGTGTGCTGGTGGAGGGTAGCTTGGCAATATCTATCAAAATTTCTAAGTGCACACACCTTCCTCCAACAATTCATTCTCCAGGAATCTGAAGATAATCAAATAGGTGTATCAAAACATACAAAAGTGATATGCAGTGCAATCATACTTATGTAATAAGCAGCAAAACACTGGAAAGAAGCTAACTGTAGGAAATTGGTTAAATAAAGACAAATTCATAAAATGGAGTGTTGGTTAGTTGTAAAAATGATAATGTGGAGGGTGCCTTGGTGGCTTAGTCAGTTGAGTGTCTGACTCTTGTTTTTGGCTCAGGTCACAATCTCGTGATTAGTGAGATCCAGCCCCACATCTGGCTCTATGCTGTCAGCATAAATAGTGCTTGGGATTCTCTCTCCCTTTCTGCTTCCCCCTCCCCACCTCGTCTTCAGAATAAACAAGTAAACATTTTAAATAATGATAATATGGACATTCAGTTAGTGATATGAAAATACATCCATGGTAATAAGTAAAAAAAAGTACAAGATATCCCATACTGTTACATAAACCTATGTATTTTATGTCTAAATTCCATAGTAAAATAAAAGACTTAGAAGGATATGTATCATATAATACCAAAATGTTAATGGTATTATCTCTGGGGGCTTACCTGAAAAACTGCTGCAAAGAATATTGAAGAAAACAAGAAAAGTGAATACACTATTTCAAGTACCATAGCCTTTATCTCCCCCAGAAAGCTTTTTGTAAGCAGTTGTGGTGGTCATTTTCTTTATTCACTACCCACACTAACAGGTTGTCTTCCAGTTACACAGCATTATAAATCATTCTCTATTTACTAAATCTCCTCTTAACAAGAGAGGTGCCTCAAGAGTAGACCTAGCCACAATTATACTCCCTGACTCAACAGCCTTTAATTTCCAGGACTGTCCTAATGGCATATAATTTATAAAGCCAATTTGTTCAATTAGATAATCTATTTTTTAACCCCTATTGGATTTTCATATAAAAACATATATTGTTCTTATTTTGTATTTTCCCGAATTGTAGGGCTGGACACAATTTCTCCCTTACAAATGACCTCCTGACTACTGATAGTAAACAAGCCTCAAAGATCCTGTCACAGTGGCCAAAATTAACTGAGTGATGCTGACATTTGTTTACCATATTGACTATACCACATGGTAATTATGTGAGTTAAGGGGAAGGGGTTACTAATACCAATAGGGCCTAGAATGCAAATTAAAGTACATTTTAATTACTCCAGCTAGAGTGCTTCTGCTATAACCCCGTTTGTGAGACAGGAATCCTTTGCATAGGAAAGGACTAACTCCTCTACAGCTATATTCTGTCTTTGAAGTTACTACTGGCACAGATCCTGAATTTGGGATGTTTCCAAGACTCATGTCCCATAATTTCGTCTCTGTAGCAGGTAGAAACAAGCCCAGCTCCCCTTACTAGTCTCCAGATGCCTAGGAACCCACCCAGACCGGTTTGGGGCGTCCCATGGGAACCAGCGTGGGTCGAACGCCTTGTGCTATGGCAGTCAAATACAGCCACCTGGCTCCCAATCCCTAGACCTCCTAGTCACTCACTCTACGGAGGGGGTCTCCCCAAGTACTTAGAAGCCTCCAAATCCCAGGCAGCAACCGCTTAACACCGCGCAGCCCACAAGTTACCTGCCTTCTCCGACTTCCCCACTGACCAAAGAGATCACTAGCCAACCTCCCCGCCCCGCCCCCCGCCCCCAAGGTTCTTCCACTCCTGCTCCCCCGTCCCCCGCGGCTAACGGCTGCCCGGAGTGTTCCAGCTAGAAGGGAAAGAAGGCGCGGGAGGGGGGGGCATCTCCTGTAGGGAAAAGGAATGCTGGGCGCCTCGGGCCTACCCAGGCCGCCCCCTCCCCATCAGCTTCCAAGTCTCTCAGCCTTCGAAGCCGCGAGGCGGAGGAAGGGTCCTGCTTCTAGGGATCCACGGGTATTGGGGGAAGCGGAAGGGATGCAGGTGGAGAGGGCGGTCGGTGCATGAGAGAGCACGGAGGCTGAGAAAGGGAAGTTCACGGGCGAGTGGAGAACTGTCATTAATTTGGGAAGAAGAATCCACCTTTGTTACTTGAAGCTCCCCTCCCTGTAGTGACAAGGGAGAGGGTCCCTCGGTAGACAGGAGGGGCCTTGTGAGAAGAAGGACACCCGTTTTCATTAATCCTGGAGAAGGGGTTTGGAGACTCCCCAGCCAGGCTTTCCCAAGGGGCAGGGTCTCGGGGGTGGGATGGGGCTGACAACGCCGTTACCAAATCTAGCGGTGGATGTGAGGGGGTGTGGGTCCGTGTGTGCACTCCGAGCCCGTCTTAGGGCTTCGGAGGGGTAAGACTTCCCTTTTCACTGAACAGCGGACAGAGGACCATACCGCAGGGCACCCACTTCTCTCTCAACTGACGCCCCCACGCCTTCTCATTTGCCTCTCCCCGCGAGGGGTCTGGCCAGCCCAGGAATGCTGTACCCTAGCACCCAAACTGCGAGCTCTCACCAGTCCCGGCGGCTGAGCTTACCCGCGTCTGCGGCCGGAGCGGAGGGAGATGGGAGGAGGAGGGGAAGGTAAGGAAGGAGGAGGAGAGAAGGCTATTGGGCGCTGGCGGGAGCCGGAGCCGGCTTCCTGCCCAGCCCCGGCGGGCCACCTCCCTGCGCCCTCGCCCCGCCCCTTCCTCCGCCCCTCGGCTGCCGGCGTCAACCTCAGCTTCGCTCCGCTCGGCTCTTCCCGCCAGCTGCCGGAGGAAGCCGGAGCCGGCAAAGACGCACCCAGGCCTCGCGCGCCACGCTCTGCCAAGCGCACTCTCTCACTCAGCGTTTTGGGCCCATCCCAACAGGCCCTGAGAGGTTTACAGATGAGGAAACTGAGGCCCAAAAGGAGTTGCCCGTCCCACACCCTTGGCTTGAGGTGAGAGCGCCCGTGCAACCGCCGACACAGGTGGACTGGCCTCTGGGCACGGGTTTGCTTAGCGGCTTAGGGCGTCCCCTGCCTAAGTACCTGCACCTGAACCAACTCTTCTGGAAGCATTCCTGCAGTTCAGGGACCCCAACAATGAGGTATGGCCTTGACTGGAAGGTTTTAGGCATTTCTTCTCATGCAGTGTCATGAACCAGCGAGATCCTTAAAGATGGGTTCAGCTGGGGCTCCTGGGTGGCTCAGTTTAAGCGTCTGACTTTGGCTCAGGTCATGATCTCACCCTTCGTGGGTTCGAGCCCCGCATCGGGTGCTGTGCTCACAGCCAGCTCAGAGCCTGGAGCCTGCTTCAGATTCTGTGTCTCTCTGACTCTCCCCTGCTCACGCTCGCTCTCTCTCTCTCTCTCACTCTCTCTCAGAAATAAATAAAAAACATTAAAAAATAAAAAGATGGATTTGGCGATTTCCTCCGTTTTTTATGGATGTAAAAGTCTAAGCCCAAGTCCCTCAGTTCTGTATCAGAGCCAGACACGTTCCCTGGCCCCAAATCCAGCACATAGAGCAGGGCTTCTCAATGGCAGCAATATTAACATAGTAGGTGGCAAAATTCTGTATTAAGGGACTGTGAATTATAGAATGTTTAGCAGCATCCCTGGCCTTGACCTACTAGATGCCAGTAGTAATCCCTTTCCTCCCTGTTGTGACAACCAAAAATTGTCCCCAAGCATTACCACATGTTCTGTGAAGGGGCACAATCGTCCCCAGCTGAGATCCACTGCTCCACCATGGCTGGGGAAGGGGGATCCGAACAGTCCTGGGCTCTGATCTCAGGGCTTACTCTTACTGCATGACCTTGGGTGAGTTACCTCTCTGAACCTGGGCTTCATCTGTAAAATGATAGGCTTGAGCATTGGCCTGCTACTGCATAGTTCTCAGGCACTTTCCATCAAGGGACCTACGTTGACCTACCTTTCCTCTGACCTGGAAGATAGTCACAGGGTTTTAGTGAGGACATGCTATAATAATAGCTGTAAAGAAGTTAGTACCTATCTGGAGTATCAAAAAGATTGGATGGTACAGTCTTCTAACCAACTAATATTTCTAGAAATAAACAGGCTGGTGGATAAAGAAATAAACTTGGGGGACGGGGCGCCTGGGTGGTTCAGTTAGTTGAATGTCCAACTTCGGCTCAGGTCATGATCTCATGGTTCATGGGTTCAAGCCCCATGTCGGGCTCTGTGCTGAAAGCTAGCTCAGAGCCTGGAACCTGCTTTGGATTCTGTATCTCCCCCCACCCCCCCCGAAATAAATAAAACACATTAAAAAATTTAAAAAAAAGAAATAAGCTTGGGGTTAGTAATAANCACATTAAAAAATTTAAAAAAAAGAAATAAGCTTGGGGTTAGTAATAATAAAAAGACGCTGAAGGGGGCACCTTAGTGGGTCAGTTGGTTAAGCAGATCATCTCATAGTTTGGGAGTCTAAGCCCCTCATCAGGCTCTGTACTGACAGCGCTGGGCCTGCTTGGATTCTCTTCTCCTTTTCTCTCTGCCCCTCCTCTGCTCACACATACTATCTCTCTCTCAAAATAAATAAACTTAAAATAAAAAAAAAAAGCTAAGGGATTCTGCTCTAACTCCACAACAGCCAAGAAAAGAGGAGCTAATGGAGGGGATAGGACATGGATAGATAAGTGTCCCTAAATTTTTAAGTTTCAGGCAATCCTGTGTGGCTTCATGCACTTTATTGTGCTGCTTTATTGTGCTGCAGTAGGATGGGTGCCCCATCTAGGAAAAGGTTGCATTTTTGTTTTTTTTTTCCTTTAGAACAGAACATTACAACCATCATTTCCCCCTTCCTTTGGAAAGTTGAATTGGGGCCTCCTTGAATTGTCGTTCAAGAGTGCCATCTAGGGGCATCTTTGTAAATCCTCTAATTCTCCCCCTCTACCTCTGTCATTGTCGGGACAGCCGGGTTTTGCTTTATCCTAGTGCATTGGCTGCCTTCTGCACCATATTATGTATACCCTGATGGCTAGGATCTTAGTTCTCTCCATTGCCTCAGGACTTGGCTCATGACGACCATTGATTGGTCAATAAGATACATCCATATGCAGCCTCTTCTACATTTTTCAAACATCACTTACTCTGGCTAAGTAATCATTTCAGGTCTTAGAAAAGCTCTACCAGGAGTCCTGGGCTCTGAATAAGAAATGTGTGAAAATTTCCCCACAACACATTGAGATCCTATGCTGTTTATATCACAGAGATGGGAACAAACCTGATTCTAGCTGACCTTTCTCCCCATATTGCCAGATTTAGCAAATAAAAATCCAGGACACCCAGTTCAGAGTGAATTTCATGTGAACAACAGATAACTTTTTAATTAAGTATGCCCCAAATACTGAATGGGATATACTTATGCTAAAAAAATTTATTTGTTGTTTATCGGAAATTCTAATTTTACCGGATATCTTGTGTTTTATCTGGCAACCCTGTGTACTTGGAGTTGCGGATGGAGGGTCTTGAAGCCTGCATCCTTCTTGGGAATTATCAAACAGAAGATTAAGTCAGACAATTCTGGTGCACATAAGGTGGCTGGGGCGTGTGTTGCAGGGAGATGACATTTTCATTCTCCTTAGTAGATATTTTCTTTTCGTTTTTAAAAAACTTTTTTTAAATGTTTATTTTTGGGAGAAAGAGAAACAGAGCGTGAGCAGGGGAGGGACAGAGAAAGAGGGAGACACACAATCCGAAGCAGGCACTAGGCTCTGAGCAGGCAGCACACTGTCTTTGCGGAGCTCAAACTAAGGAACCAAACCGTGAGATCATGACCAGAGCTGAAGTCAGATGCTTAACTGACTGAGCTACCCAGGTCCCCTGTTTGTTTATTTTCTATGTAACAGACCGCATGTAGGTTTTTGGTTAAAGCTAGGGAACAGATAGCATAGTCAGGTTCAAGTCCTAACTTTGCTACCGACCTTGCTTAGTGACTGACTATGTCTGCTTCCTCAGCCATAAAACTTGAGATGATAATTTTATTTATTTCCTGGGTTGTTTGTGAGAAGATTTGGAGAGACAATGTTTATTAAGTACTTAGCACAGTGCCAGCAGATAGTATAACTCAATACATGAAAGTCATAATCATTGTTTTGATATTTTTAAACACAGGTAGACTTATTTTTTTTTTACAAATAGTTTATTGTCAAATTAGTTTCCACATAACACCCAGTGCTCATCCCCACAAGTGTCCTCCTCCATGCTCATCCCCCCTCCCCCCCTCATCCATCAGTCCTCAGTTTTTGTCAGCATTCAAGAGTCTCTCATGGTTTGCCTCTCTCCTTTCCCCCACCATTTCCCCCCTTCTTCCCCTTGTTCCTCAGTTAAGTTCCTCCTAATCCTCCTATACGTGCAAACATATGTTTGTCCTTCTCTGCCTGACATATTTCGCTCAGCGTAACACCCTCAAGGTCCATCCATGTTGCTATAAACACAGGTAGACTTAAAGTTCACTTTCAGATAGAGGCATGTCTCCTACTCACCCACAGGATCATGGGGCTCATTAGCACCATACCAGTCTCTGTCTCCTGTTTCAATTTGTTGGGCTACAGCTGCTGGTTTTTGTGGGACTTTGGATTTCATGCCCCATTATGGGAAGCCTGGTAATAACCCCATTTCTGTCTAAACCAAAGTTTCAAACCCCATCACTAGTTCATTTATTACAGATACTATTTGAAATTGTATATATTGTGGTATCTAAATGTGGTGTCTGTCTAGAAATATGGGGACCCCCAGTTGTGGGATAATGATTGGATGGAAACCAGTGGCAAGGGCAGTGAAAGGATTCACCTGAGGCAGAACAAGGACGATAGAAGTTTACCAAATACACCTTAAGGGAGGAGGGGAGGGGCAGGACAGCAAAGGAGACGCAGTGGGTGGGGACTAATTTTAAAGGGGGAGAGTGGGGAGGTAGGAGGATGTATGGAAAAAAGGGAGACTTTGTGGTAACTGTGCCTGGTTGTAAGTAGCCCATTGGTTAGTTAGGGCCTATGGATGTTCTGAAGCCCTAATGGGCTTATCTATATTCAGCCAGGGGGTCACTGTGAACCCTTTCTACATTCCATTGCTCGTTTGCCTAAAAGTGGCCTCTGTATATATGTCTGAAGGTAGAGAGTAGGAATATAAGAGATGAGGAACTACAAGGTTATTTTCAAAGTATGGAGAGGGGTGCCTGGGTAGCTTAGTTTAAATATCAACTCTTGATCTTGGATCAAGGCTGACAGTACAGAACCTGCTTGGGATTCCCTCTCTCCCCCTCACTGCCTCTCCCCTGGTCATGCACTCTGCCTCTCTCAAAATAAAAATAAACTTAAAAAATAAAAAAGTAAGATAAAGAAGAAACAAGTACTTGGTCCTGTGCAGTGCCCATGGTAGGCCCTCAGATGTTTGTGTTTTGGATAGGTCTTTTGTGGAAGGAGCACTGGACTCTGGAGTCATAAGGATAGGCTTCAACTTGTATTGGTGCTTCTTATGAGTCGCATCAAGTTGGGGAAGTTATGTATTTTTCTCGGTTTTGGTTTTCTCAATCCATAAAGTGGGAACAACATGGAATTTTGAGGAGAATTGAATGAAATAACAGGTATGCAAGCATGGCACCCCAAAAGAGCTCAATAAGTCTAACTTGGTTTTGAGAGAACTTGAAAGCAACCAAATGATGTGTGCTTTGAATGT